CCCTATCTAGTTAAGATCACATCACCAGCAACCATTTTCTCATCAATTTAGTAGAACCTGAGCACAATGGCCAGCAGCATTAATTACAACAAAGATGATTCTCTGAAGAAAAGTCATATGGTGTGTTCACGCCGAACACAGCACGAATCAAGATAACATACACATCCAATGCAAGGACGCATCTAAATGCAAATTTGCGCAGAGAGTCTTGGGTGTCAAAGGCGTCAAATGCTCCAAACACGCGTACTGCTCTTCCGCTGGCTTCCCCTGGTATTTCCACGACATGTACAATGCAGCAACTTGATCGCTTCAGCTAATATTCCTCCTCTCTTCCTGGGGAGAACAGGGAAATAGTCCCTGGCTGTGGTAATTTGTGTGTTAAGTGCGATCAACCCAAATAAACCCAAATGATCCTGCAGCAGGTTTAGGTCAAATTAGGGAAAAAGCGATTTGCGCCGTGTTCAGTGTGAACACACCATTAGTTGTACATTGGTCCTGACGATGAAAATCTGCTGTAATGTGCTGGGGACAGATGCAGACTGAAACACACAGAGATGAACTGTGCTCCCTCATGCTAGCCTATTAAAAGGACCCACAGAGAGGATGGAGTTTAGCATTTGGCACCAGTGTCATCCTGGCAGCTTTACATGCTAAAAACCCATTGGGATGCCTTCAAACACAAATGCACTGACTATAGCGCTGTGAGCAACTGCCACTGAAAAGAAGACATAGAGTTACCAGGAGAAAAACTGGCCTGTCTGTGCAGACGTCTGGATCAGCTACACAGTTGCTAGGTTTGAGGTTTTTCCTGACCAAACTATTTCTGACTACAAGCATTGGTCCTCAGTTAAAAAAGAAAAGAAAAATAACTGTGGGAAATCGACACACCCAGACCATTTTCTGCTCTTTTATTGCATTTGATTGCATCCGATGAAAAATGCAAAAGAAGAATGTATTTGTATGTACAAGGGAATTATACTTGATACAAGGGGTTAAAAGGGGCCCATTGTTGGTTGAATTTAGTTCAGCATTGGATTTCACACATTATGCTTTAATACCCTGTCGCAATAAAGAAAACTACTTGCAATCGGCTGTGCCACACTGTTATGGTACTCAAGGTAACACGTTGTCTCCCTACAGAGTAGGCTATGTGTTAGAGAGGTGGTTATGGTAAATGGTGTGTATTTATATAGAGTTTTTCTAGTCTTGATGCCCACTCAAAGCGCTTTACAGTACAGCTTTTACATTTACCCATTCACACACACATTAATACAGTGCATCTATGTGCAGCAGTTTCTCTAAGAGTATCTTGCCCAAGGACACTTAGGTACACATATTAGGGAATAGAGCCACCAACTTTCTAGTTAGAGGATGACCGTTCTAACCCCTGAGCCACAGCTGCCCCTGTGAGCATGTGAGCAGGTTTACAGTAGAAATATTTTTTTCTTTGATGGGAAAAGTTGCAGAATGCTGTCTTTCTTTAACCTTTTCCTCCAGCAACAGGGAACACAAGCAGAGCGAGCTGACTACTCACAGGTGTCAAGGCCTCACGAGGTATCTCTCCAGAGCCTTGACCCTTTAACAACTCAATAGAAATACACTTTTGCCTGATAACCAAACTTTGATATTGTTTCTTTTCTGCCAGATGTAAAATTCACTTAGTCTTTTACAGTTTGTGTCCTTAGCAATAACTAGCAACTGAATAAAAGTACAACAATCAAAATAAGCAAAACACTGGTCCTGAACCTTTCTTGAATTACTTAAAAAATCAGAGATATGGGAAACAAGTAGGTTTCTTGATTTGTATGCAAGTTTCTTTTAATAAAACAATGATATTACAATCGTATCTCTGCATTATTTGTAGGATTCTTGAGGTATTACTCCAGTCTGAAAATAGTAGACAAAACAAACAGCGGATCCAGACAGCTCCCACAGTTCTATTACTGCTGTGTGCTGTGGTTTCTGAGCACCACAGTGCATAAGACCCATCTCCTGGCTGTTCTACAAATTAGAGAGGGTTCCTGATCGCAATGCCATCCATTGTGTCCGCAAAGTTTGGAATGGAGTTTGTTTTTTTGTATTAATGAGCTCCCCTCCCTGAGGAATCCACCAGGCAGGTCAATAAGAGGCAGACTGTGAGTAGGGGTATTTAGGTTCATGTGGGGTTCATAGTATTGGATTTCGAAATTTCAAATTTCGAATTTTAAAGGCTTATGAAGTCAGATTTACTTGACCCTACACTTTGGGTCCTATGGTATGAAACAACAGTTGGCTATGCAGGAGTTGAATTGCAGTAAGGAATAATTATGTCCTCTTCTGACTAGAGTTGGGTAACGTTTGGATTTTGGGAACAGTTTAAAGTGTATTCAATTTAAATATACAAATATAAATAAGTGTAAACCTTTTTTGTAATTTACGTAAGAAAATCACATTATAAAAAAAACTGAAATTACTTTACTTACTGTCTTTGTCTGGTTTCCCTCCTTCCTCATTGTTTTTACCTGCCCTAAGTTACCCCTGCCTTTTTTGTGTTTAAAGTCTTTGAGCTTTCCTCACGTTTCTGTTTTGCTCCTTTGTTAGAATCTCATGTTGGATTTGGTTTGGACTTGTGCTTACATTTTTTAACTTCCCTGGATTTCCCCATGTATCACTTTTGCTGGTTTGTTAAACCTTTGTTAGATTGTTTGCTTACCTACCACCAGTCTGTTCAATTAGATTCCACAAACCATATGTGCCTTGCTGTTTTTGTCTGCTTTTGGTCTGCCAGAAACTCTAAAAGTAACAAATGGTTTAAAATAAAACTGTTGCACAGCAGTGTTTTAGTCTGAGTAGCGCATTTGATATTTGTATGAAATCTGATATTTTCTAAAGGCACCAAACAAGCTACAGCACTTCCATCTTAATTATGAAAACCATCACAGCCAGCATGTGAAAGTGAAAGTAAAGAAAGTTATTTTTAATAATGTTCCATAAGTGAAAGGGTTGTTCTCTGGCCCATACCCCACCCTTCCCAGGTTTTCTGTAGGTTTCAAATTTAATTGAAGCTTTCTGAAGACTACAATGAATGAAAAATAAGACCTATGTCAACATGAGTTTAAGTTCAATTCCAAATATTCTGAATTTAAATTTTCAGATTACTGAATTAGAGTTTTTAAGACCCAGTGGAAACCCTGCCTTTTGTCAAGTTTCAAGAAAATCCATTTGGCTGTTTTTGCATTATCCTGATAAAAGTCAAAGAAATTGCAATGAAAACACATTTACCAGAGATAACAACCTTGAGAATCCAATGCCTATTGTTATGTTTTTTAAAAAGGGTAGGTTGATATTCAAAAGGGTCTTCCTTAAGAAAACGACCTCATAGGTCACCTCATAGGTTAATATGACCCATAGTTACGGTATATTGCCTAGTTGCAATAGCAATTCTGACAGGCACAGGGGGAAGTAAGGTGATGTAGTGTATAGGGCAAAACAGTCCACATTTGGAGGGGGTTGGGGTGAATGGATGGGTCAAAAAAAGACAGGACATTCACATAGAAGATCATCATTGTCCCATGAAAACAAGTGTCAAACACATGATCACATGTTCAATGCTGTAAGCATGATGATGAAGGCCCTTTGATGACCCACCTGTTCATGTAAAAACCAATCATGTACGTATAGTCAAGACCTTACAATAACATAGTTCGCAAATGAGCATAGGGGCCTGGGGCCAGTAACACTTGTGCAAAACTTACTGCTTTCTGCAGTCTTTCTCCGCCTGGCCCCCCTTGTATAAAGTCTGCAGAAAGTTTGACAGAGCTGATGGATATTCACTGTGAGCGAGTGGGGGGGGTTGATGACACTTCTAACAAGCGACAGAAGCAAAAATGGAAAAAACTAAAAGAGAAGAAATATCTCAGGATGAAAAAGTGAAGCCACAAACAAAAACAAAAACATGTGATCACTCCTGCACAGTGAATACGTTACATCCTGACTCTGTCTGCTGCCCCACCCCTCACCTGAATCTTGCAGAGAATGTCTTGCCATTGTTAATGCAGAGAATCTCCTGCTGTGTTGTGCATGTGTGAAAGGCAAACTGCGGAGAAAGTCGAACCTAATTCCTGTCATGTCCAAAAAGGCTGTATTCATATGTAGTCCATGGTTATGACCTATGGGTCGTATCTAAGGCTCTGTCCCCTTCCCTCTCCTTTGGCCCTACCTCTAGATATGAAGGGCCCTTCGCTGGGAGTGTGCCCCTCCTAACGGAACCACAAGGGAGAGGGCTAGAAAATCTCTGCTAGGAATTGGGACACCACTCAGCAGCGAACCAACATCATACAGTGACATACAATATCAACTGATGTTATCTGTTATCAAGCAACATTGTAAAAGTGACACATCTGTTAATTGCAAAGAGACAGGACAGATTGATCTATTGATCAATACACAGTCAACGTGTTTACATCGGTTATTTAAATGTAACGTTAGTCCTGTCCACAGAAACTTCTGCCCTGCACTGAAAACGTTATAACATGAGCAGGGACGTGTTTTTTTTCAAACTTCATATAAGCGACATGGGAGTAATGAACACTACTTGTTACTCTCTCTCAGACAGCAACGTGAAAAGAACTGATAACGGTTTGGTGGTTCAAACAACCCAAAGAGGGCAAGTGGCTCTTCATCAACAGCTTCATTCACCACTGAAAGTGATCGACTGACCAAATAGCTCAGTGTCCATTTTTAAATAGTACTTGACAGTTTTCTGCTAACTCAGTGACACTGTCACACAAAAATGTTCAAACAAGACACACAGATTTAGTAGAGAAGATCATCTCAGGTTGGCCCCGGTCAGCCATGCGACCGAGCAGGACAACAACAGTTAAACCCAGCTTACAACAGCTAACAACATGTTTATTATCAAGGCCAGAGTACCAAGGTATTTGACCCAATTACCCATAAAATGCAGACAAAACTGTAAAGGCATCAAAAATAAATAAAAGATTAATTTTCCTTCATCTTACCTGTAGTGGGGCTGACTGGAATCTGAGTTTCTGAGGACAGAAAAAGAAAAATAAGAAACAGATGATGACTGATATTTTGAATATCAAATGTTATAGTCAGTTTAGATTCACAGCAGTAACAGTGAATGCCAATGGTGACCTATTTTCACACCAAATAAAAAGCACAGAAAATTCCGTAAAAGTTTGCAAACCTCTGAAACATATATAAGCATATTTCTCCTGTCCATTTATGTTGCCACTATGTTGTGTATATCAGGGTCAAAATATTACTGTACAGCGACAGCCTTATTCATGATTATTGTCTGTCACTCAAAACTACCATAGAAATTGCCATGAAACTAAACTTATACGCAAAACTTTCCAGATCTACCTTTTCAGTCTATACGGGTGCTTAATTTCCTAAAATACAGGTTTTGCAACCAAGTTGTATCACAGCTGCTAAACAAACATGTGTCAATCTCATAACAAAGTCACCAAATAACACGAACAAAGTTTCACCAGCAGCTGAAGAAGCAGTGTAGCCTCATTAAAAGCCACATTGGTTTCCTTACAAACTGCATATAAACCACCGCTCTGCTTTAAGATGCAGTAGTAGTCACATATGGTCTGTCAGTGGTGCTTTGATGCTGAGAAAACAGAAACCCATATAAAAACTTGCAGACACTTGATGAAACAAGATGAACACAACACCATATAAGCTATTAAAGTGAGGGTGGAAGTATGCTATGAACTGCCAAAGCCCTGTAGTATTAAGCCATGGTGCTTCTTGTTTTATTTGATGCACAATTTTATGGGCAAATAATAAAAAGAACAGAAAGAGAACAAGTCCCAGAAAAGGACTCAAATCAATGAGAAAGATGTCACCACAAGACATAAACTAGTATTACTCTCCTTCCTGGTGGGCAGTTGATTGGAAATGCCTTTTGATTGCCACTCAAAAACTAGATCTGATGTACCATGAAGACAATTCTACGTACTTTGTATAGACAGTCATTTAGTGAATCTCAGAATTAAACAGTGCAAAGAACGGGTGAGGAGGTCTGGCTGGATGTGAGTGTGTGTAGCTGCTGAGCAGAGAGGAGCCTGGAGGCAGATTCAAGACATGACTTTGCTTGTCCCTGCACTCAGCATTTCAAACACAACAACATGAGCCAGGACCATGGATATTTTTCACCTTGAGGATCAACCCCTTTCCTGGCACGCCCTTGTCTTGTTAAGCTCGATAATGGTTTTGTCAAGTCAATGTGCATTCGGTTATGACAGACATTCAGCTAAGACAAAGTCAGCATTTCCAGGGTCATCAAAGCACATGACAAATTTAAAAATACATCCATCAACAGGCTACACCTACATTTACACCTCATCTCCTCAAATTATTTATTAGAACATTTACCAAATCTATACATTTATATCTGCGAAACATTTATAAAATTGGGCACCTTAAACCATCAAAATTCTACACACCCTTAGTTCAAATTATTTTACACTAAACATCTCTTCCTCCTGCTTAGCCACTAAAGATTTTAGTTGAATGTATGTGAATATAAATATTAGGACATCCCTGAATGGCCAGTTTATACTTAGAAGGCCATAAGCATGGTAAAGGTGCTGCATAGGTGCAGTGTATCAACAATATCATTACCACAATATGATTTTCATCAACAGCAGTAATTGTGATAATGATGTTGTTTTACTGCATCATAACAGTGATGATCAGGTACATCTTGTCGGACTTGACACCATAACATGCAGCTCACATGCAGAGAACAGGTTTTTCCACTGAGAATCCTGAGTCAGCAAATGAATCAAATGCTTAAGCATTATCTTTCAATCTGAAATCAGGTCAAGTTTCCCAAACATACACATTACATACACATCTTTAACTTCCTTATATAAGTTATATAACTATATTAGAATCTAAGTTAAAAAACAAAGACCATCAGACGTGACCTATTATTTTTAATTTGCAGTCAGCCACATACATTTCCCAATCGTTTTGTTTTGTCAAAGAGTGCAGACCAAGCACATTAACTGTTATCTGCAAAAGTTTGCACCACAAAGGCTTGGCTAGACATGACAACAAAACCCTCTAACTCCGAGTGTGTAACTCAACTGCCTTATGATCGTATAGAATCAATCAAGCACTTTGACACACTGATGCACAAACCCTCCAATAATGCCATGAAGCAGTCCTGGTTATTTATTTATACAGAAAAATGTAAGTGGCAGATACCACATCAACAAATCTATATTGTCTCATTGTTATGTCACATAATCCTCATTTAAATTTTCCGAGAGACTGAGATGATGTGAACTAATATGCTAAGTATGAGCATACACTTTTCTCCATTGTCAATGTCTGCGTGTTTGTTGATGAGTGTGTCTGTGTGTCAGCTAGAGCGAGAGAAAGAGTTACGTCAATTGTATTGATTTTGGCTGCAACGCTTTACACCCCTGAAACTTCAAAAGTCAAAGTGTAGATGAGGAGTGCATTTTCATTTTTCGGTGAACTGTCCAGACGGATGTTAAAGCAACACTATGCAACTTTTTTACCTTTAACATTTCAGCTGCAAAGTAATGATTGTACACTGTCTTGGTATATGGAAAATGGAGCCACTTTCTTTTCCTCTCCTCCTGAAAGCCTGTTTTCCTTCAGTGAATGGGTATAATCACCTGTGAGAAGTGTGTAACTGACAGATGGTCAGATCTTAAACTGTCAGAATCAGGCCTAGCAAGTTTAGTGAAGTCTTACAAGTTATTAAAAACCATCATTTATCTCCAATATTCAGCCAGGAAACTATTCAAATATCAAGAATTCTGAACAGTTTGGTCTGTTCGTAACAGCGGCAGTTCTTCCATTTCAGGAAGCCTGGAGTCATAATGTGTTGTGTTTCACTTCAGTTGTTGAATTGCTATTACCCTACTTGTAATGTCTGAAGTTATATAGTATATGTCTGTCCCATTGGTTTTGTTTTGTTGTTTCCTTGTGTCCTTTGTGAAGTTCAGAGGAACATTCTGGCTGTAAAATGAAATGTATTATTGTAATATTTCTTGGCCTAACATTTATTAATAGTTTAGTTTAGTTTGTACAAAGTAGTCCAACGCTGAACTGAAGACAGCCTAGAATGTTTGGACACAATCATACTCAATATAGTCAATATATAATTTAACAAATCAAAAGCTTGCTCTTAGGCTGAGGAAGTAAACAAACACTAAAAGCAATGACTTTGTTCTTGTTATTAAATCAGGCTGTCTTCTGTCAAACAGGCTTATTCCTCACATACAGTAGCTGATGGTTTCAGGCTACAATACTTTATTAGACTGAAATCCAACACTGGGAACAGTTTGAACTGGATTCCACAGTGAGTCAAACAATCAGTGCCTTGGAGTTTCACTTCACCTTCTCTCGACACTAATGTCTCAGTCTGAGTGAGGTCTCTCACCTGGTACCACCTGAACAGGGCCCAGCAGAGCAGGTAGGCGGCCAGGCTGAACTTGGCGGTACGGTATCTCTCCGGTAGACAGGTCAGATACAGGAGAAGCTCCGAGCGTCCTCTGCTGCTCGGCTCCTCTCTGCGCCCCGACCCGCTGCTCCCTGCGGCCGAGTCTCTGCTCCCACCCGGGCTCTCCATTCCCGATCCCCGCTTCTGGGAGCTTTGAAATGCGGCTCGGATGAAGTTGACAGCTTCGTTGAAACTTGCACGGAGTTGTGTTGGAGAACTACCTGCTGAGCGCCTCCATGCTGTCTGCTCCTGGGCAGCTTCTCTACACAACACTGCACGCGGAGCTGCGAGGCGCGCTCCCGACAAACGTGTTCACTGGTGTGAACGCATTTTATTTTTCAAATTAAAAGTCCAACACTCCCCTTCAGGTCCGAGCTGAGTGTGTGAGCCTGTGCATTCATCACTACTGGTCTCACGACGTCAAAGCTGGCTATATAGCGCCCCGTGGTGGCACAATCATTTCACACACTTCTCATATGATTCAAATAGTTGGCAGATTTGAAACTGTTGTTATCATACTGGAGGATGTAGTAACACTTCTTCTAAACTGCATTACCCCAAAATCTGTCTTCGCCAGGTGTAAGGAAATGCACCCACTTAACACTCTGCACAGCATGAAGGTTTTGTCAGCTGGGGTCTTTCTCTGCAGAGTTGCATGTCTTCACTGAGATGCTGTCATAGGTTTGCCCCCACAGACCAATGACATGCAGCTCTCGGTTCATTGAAGACTCTGCATTGTACTTAGGTGTCACTGTGAGTAGTTATTTGTCTCTATTATGTTAAGCCTTTGATAGGCTGGTGACCTGTCCTGGATGCAACATGCCTCTCGCCTATCATCAGCTGGGATCAATACATCTTACTGACTTGACTTTTCCCCCCGGACTCCTTGTGCTTTATTGTTTGCAGATCCAGGACAGCACCTGTGGCCTCATCCTGGCTCATGATGGTGGGTCGCGAATCAGAGGTCGTGATGGCGGATTGTGGATCATAATCGTGGTGGCAGCGCGTCGTGGATCATGATGGTGGATCATAACAATGGATTGTGGATCATTTTTTCTCCCTCATACTAATTCTTAATGACTCCACGTTCTGTACTAATACTGCTGTTATTGTTAGACAAAATAACCTAACCTCATTCTCCACTTACTGACTTTTTTCTGGAGCTTTCAACATCATCTCGCAGTTTTCATCAGCACACCCTGAAGGTATTGAGTGCTGACTCATTGTGACTTGACTCTGGTCTGGTGTCAAATTTACTCAAAATTTTTTGACATATTCTGTTTTCCCACAGGGGACACCTGCCTTGATCAGAGAAGATGTGGGTAAAGGGGGTAGATGGTTCATAATTCAAACTATAGTCAGTTACAAAAACAAACTCTTTATTATCGTCCAAACAAACAGAGTATACAGTTTCAATATCTTGTGAGACAACTAGTGTTTAAAGTATTATGAAAATGCAAAGTGGTATCAGATGTTGCAATTGTTGTTTCATCAACTTTATGGTTATTATGTTTTAATGTTGTATAACTGTATTTTTAACAGATGCATGTGAGGTGATACACAGAAAGCTAAATTTACATGTTTTTTTTAACTCCTGTTAATTAACGGAACTAAAACCTACATTAGATAAAACATACTGCATCATACAAAATAGCCAATCATATATTTTCTGATTTCTGTTGAGTAACACTACATCAGGGAACTGTCAAACACCTTGAAACATGCTTATAATAAAGTTCAGTTGATTTCAACTTTGTGCAGATCATCTGCAGTGACACGCACCACCTGAAACAACACAGAGTTATACATCATTACGTTATGATCAGAACTAAATATAATAGATTGGTACAAATAAATTTAAATTTATTTGCATTCAAAGTAAATCAAGAGGAAGCCACTAAGCCTTGGTCAGACCAGCTATTAACATCTGTTCTGAGAGCTACGGTCATAGATGAGTCCTAAATGTCTCTCCTGTGACCACTTCATATTTCAGATCGGATCTCACTGTGCTCTATATGCAAATAATAATGTTTGGTATTTGTACTTGCGAAGACCAAATGATGTCGTTTTAACCCAGCCTGAGTATATGGATGTGATAGAGAGAACTTGGAGGACTCATTTGGGTGCATTCACACTGTCCATCTGTGATCGGATTGCTCAGGGGTGTAAACTGGTAAAAGTGCAAAAGTAGAGCCATATGTACCTCCACCAAGGCCAGTCTGCTTAAAAGCAATCATGATGCACACACTCATAGATATCAATCCCCTTAATATGCCTGGTGGTTTTCATCAAGAATTATTTCCCTGGAAAATTAGTAAATTGTCAAAGAAATGCTCACTAAGTTAAAGAAAGTGGTGACATTTTTTTTTGATCTGCCATTTTATCCAGATCCATGCCAGAGAAAGTGACAGCATACTAGGTGAGTAGTTCTCAGCAGAAGTGCGCCTTACATGGCAATATCACTGCTCAGAGAGAGGCCATTTCTGAAAACAGTGTCATTTTTCATTTGACCCACATACATCCATGCTTTGCTGCTCAGAACTACCAACCAAAGTTGTCAGGAAAGGAGGGAGAATGTAGGCTAAATAATAGTCCTGCTGACTTATTTGTTTTAGTGTGTCAAAAATATGTTTTCATCCATCCATTAGACAAAACTCACTTCTCCTTCATTCTCAGTGGAATCATTTTGTTTGTGTGTTTGTGTTTTTGTGTGTGTGTGTGTGTGTCACCTTATCTCACCCTGAGTGTGAGCAATCAGATTTGTGAATGCATAACAAAGCAATCAAAGAATTAGGGTGATTTTTGATAAGAGAGAATATCTGATGGGAGTTACTTAACATACATAGATGGTACAATCCATCCATTCTCACAAAAAAAAAGTGAATAAACCTATAATCATTATTTAGATGTTAATAATTATTGTATGTCATATTTTGTAATCCAATGGTTATTTTATACATGTTAGAATTCCCTTTA